CTTGCTTCTGTACCTGACAATAGAACTAGTGCTCATTTGGCAGTTAAGCCACTCTCCCAGAATTCCAGACAAGGGATAATCTACGAGTACCAGCTGTGTGCTTCTCACACCTCAAATAAGACAGGCACCCTGTTAGAAACAGCCCTGACATGGCTTAGCAACCGTGTCTGACCAGACTCTGAGTAGGGATGTGATTGGGATTGCAGTGAGAGCTTTCCCCAAACATGTCCAGAAAGGAATGCCAGCAGTGCTGCCTGTATGTCCATGACAAGGAATTTTTTATTTTATTTATTATTTTGTTTTGTAACTTCAAGGCAGTAAATTTCCCTTTTTTCCCTTTTGAGAAATTGATTCAGTAGCTGTATAAAAATCTACTTCAAGAGAAAAGACTGGACCACATTAGCTGATGGCTTGGGCCCTTTGAAACTACAGCCCAGCATTCAGACTCCATGGTTCTTCAAGGTACTCATACAAGTGCTTGTTACATAAACATCCACTTTTTAGGACACAAAACACAAAGCAGAATAGAATGTAGAAAGAACCCAAATATTCTATATTCTATGCCTTCAAGTAATATACACTCTATTTAGGAGAAATGACAATTTGTGCTGTCATATTTCCATTTGCAATCACTATGCTAGTTACCTTATGAGGTATAACCACAATCAGTAACGAATCACAGCCATAGCAGGCTCCATTTATTAGAAATTAAATGCTTCGTAGCATGGCTTAACTCAGCAAGACATATACTTAGCTGATTAGTGTGTGTTATTATGCTGTGATTCTATTCTGTGTATGTTTCATTCTTGTGCATGTAAAAATGGGTATGTGGAAGGGGAACAGCAAAAAAAATTGCAGGTGAGAAAAGGAAAGTGAATCATATTTGTATAATAAAACTAGTCGCATCAAACAACATTTACAGTTCTGTGGAAAAAAAAATATTATAACAAAGCAGAGTATTCTAATGGGCTATTTATAGGTGATAGATCAGCAGTAAGAGATGACTACAGGAATATCTTAACTAATAAGCACTCTGTGACCTTCACTGGATCCAGCTTTATGACACCTTACTAATTATATCCATCCCACAAACTGTTAAGACTCACAGCTATGATTGCAATTTCTCCATATTTCCAAGTTTGGTGAAAGAGTAAAACCAAAGATATTTAACTGAAGTTACTTTAAAGTACAAATTTTGCAGGATTAAATTTGTAAATAATGGACCAACCTACTGTTCTTTAGTTCTTTATTTTTGTTGATGAGTTTGCAGTATAAAACTGAGCACAACATGGATCAAAATTTAAACAAAATCAATTATACTGACTCACCATTTACTGAAACTATGCCTTGGGAAATGACAGTATTAGAAGGAAGTGTTAGAAATAATTGTTGTAGTTATGAAACTTCTGGTATTTTTGATACATTTCTGTATGTTTTTGATACTTTTATGATATTGCATTATATAATTACAATGTAATGGAAACTATCTAGAGAATTTGGAATTATTATACTAGCTTCAGTGGTTATCTACAGAGTACCATGAGAAACATAAAAATACTAATTAAGGAAAATCCCTCAACTGTGAATATCTGAAGAGTTTATTGTACTAATGTGAGAGATAATTCATTTCCAAACTATGAAAGCCAAGCAGTGTACCCATTTATCACTATGCACTCTGAACAGACATATTCTTTTGACCAATCAGTGTACCATTCTGTAGAGAGCACCACATCCAAATGATGGTCAGTAACCTCTTCTTGGCCATGAAGCAAAGTATGAGGCAGATGTGAATGTGAACTTCTCACAAATACAGATAATCTTCACTAGCTTGAAATAGTCAGCCATAAAACAATTCAGTGATTGCCTCATATTTTATATGAGATTGCAGGACATGACTAAAACAACTGAACATATGAATATCTTATATGGGGCATTATCCTTAGATTTAGTACCTTTCCAGGCCACTGGATGTGGCATACAGTTGATTTGCATTTCAATATCATGTAGAATTCATGCATACACTTAGTTCAGCACTGCAATCAAAACCAAACTCCTAATCTTCAGTGAGTGCTGTGCCTGAAAGTCTTCTAGAAGTTATCATTTTAGAAATGATCTGTGACTTTACTATCCATACTCTAGAAAGTGGTATTTTTCACAGTAGTCAGATAAATACGTAAATGGCGATCATATTTAGCATCACTGCAGTAGTATCTGGAATCAAAAACAACCAGCAGTTTCTCTCTTGGGAGAGATACCTTTAATCAACTGCTTCCCCTTGCAAAGGTAAATAGTTAATGGCTGGACATGTGTAACTTCTGATCACCTCCTGCTACCAACAGGACTATGTCATTTCACACAGCCATTCCCTCTTGAAATCCTTCTGTACTTCAGGGCCCCCTTTACCCTTTACTCCTTTCTGCCCTCCCCACAAGCAATGTGATCTGCCTTCCCATTTGTGTTACCATCAGAACGTGGTAAGCAATGCAACATCAAAAGAAGCATGGAGAAGGAAATGACTTCATAATGACCTCACAGCTTTCTGGATGCCTTTTACTTGTTTTACTTTTAAGTGAACGGTTGAACTGTGGGTGATCTTGTAGGTCTTTTCCAACTTTGGTAATTCTATGATTCTATTATTCTACTTTACTGACCTTCCTGTCAAAATCTTTTCTGTATAGGAAATGTCTATGCATGCTCTAATTGTTACTTTCAGATGCTCCGTAAGCTAGTAATAAAATTACAATTTTAAATACTGAAAACAACAATTGTCTTAGACAAAACATGGAGTCACATTTCTATATAAATACCTCTTATAGAGAGAAAAAATCTTTAAAGCCTGGCATTAAAAATTCATATTTCTCTGGGCACTCCTTTAGTGTGATGACTACAATGTTACATTTTACAAAATGTTAGTTTTCCTTTTCCCAGGTTTCCCAAAGAGAAAGGCTGTTATTTCTTTTAAAATAACAGGCACGTTGTGACACAGCAGGGTAAAAGCAAGAAAAAAACTAAACACATTTTCCTTTTAAATGGCATATTTATAGTGTACATTAAAAAAGTATATTAATGCTGCAGAGCATGTTGAGACAATTCACTCAGATTATAAGCCATTTCCTTTAAGATCACTGGACCGTAGCACTTCTGCGTTCACAAAATCTTTCTGCATTGCTTTTTGTTTTGTTTTGTTTTAATGTTTATGTGCAGTAAATTCCAGATGATGTTCTTTTACTCAGCTTAGCTCTTTTGTTTCTCTTCATGATAAAAAGGACTTGTGTCAATAGCCACAGCTGGCAATTCAGATGACTACAATCTGACACAAGTATCTTACCGTCTTCAGTTATTTTTGATTGAAACTCCTCTGTAAAGCGGAACATTCATCATAACTGCCTGATATATCTTTATTGACTAAGGCTTGTCAAAGAAAATCAGATGATGACTTCAGGGATGGAAATGACCTTTTCTTTTCTTTTTTTTTTTTTTCTTCCTGTGGCTCAGAACGTAGAACAGAGATTTATTGGCTTTATTTGAAATCAGGTGCAAATAATTCAGAAATCTGTGTTAATGCGCAAGGTTAGGGTAACCCCAAATATGAATACAGGCTGGGCAATAAGTGAAAGAGTAACACTGCAGAGCTGTACATGGAGTTACAGATGGACAAAATGTTCAACACGAACTGGCAATGTATGCCTGAAGACCAGAGAGCAAACCTTACCAATAGAAGTATAGCTAGCAGGGCAAAGAAGGTGATTCTCCCCCTCTGCTCCACTTCCATGAGACTCCACCTGCAGTACTATGTTCAGCCCTGGGGAGTGAGTGCATCCACAGATATGATCAGAGGACTGGAACATCTCTTCTATGAAGACATGCTGAGAGGATTTGGGTTATTCGACCTATAGTAGAGAAGGCCAAGGTACACCTTCAGGTAGTTTCCAGTACCTAAAGAAGGCCTACGGGAAAAGACGGGGAGGGACTCTTCATTGAGGAGTATTGTGATAGGATAAGGAGTGATGGCTTTTAACTAAAAGAATGTTGATTTAGATTAAATGCTAAGAAGAAATTACTAACTCAGAGGATTGTGATGCATCAGAACAAGTTGCCCAGAGAAGCCGTGGATTCCCTATTCAAGACCAGGTTAGATAGAGCTTTGGGCAATCTGGTGTAGTGAAAGTGTGTGTCCCTGTTCATGGCAGAGGGGTTGGAACAGGATGATTTTCAGGTATTTTCCAAACCAAACCATTCTACTGCAATTCTATTCTATGATTCTAAAGTGATGAATATAACCAAGATGAATTATGAGTTGTGATGCTGATCAGATTAGCACCTCAATCCGTAGTATCTGGTGCTGTCTGTAGTAACTGAGAGTCCCTCTTTGGTCTCCAGCTGTCACTCCAGAGGAGCAAAGATCTTCTTGAGGTCCCACATCATATTTCTGAGCACCAGATAGCTATGTTGCATGATCTTGGATGCCATAAATGGCACTGGGTGCATTTGTGTGACAAAATGATTGGAGGCACTAGTACATTAGTTTTGAATTACGTAAATAAAATTATATCCAATCTCTAGTGTTCTGAAGGAGCTTTTTAAAAATACTGACCTACTTCTCCATCATTTTAACATATTTATTTGCATTATAATACATTTATTTGTAGTTAGAGTGTACAGATCTTGTACTCCATAAAATTGGAACTTGTGCTTGTGGAACAAGATGGTATTCTTTAGCTGGCTTCAAAATATTCCTAATAGCAAAACACACTCTTTGTAAGGCAGGTTGAAGTACATCATGTATTATCAGATACAGTCTCCTGCATGCTGCATGTTTGAAATAAAGCAGAATTCCAAGGATTATTTGACCTCTTCTTCTACAAACTGTATTTTATCTTTGAAATATAGGGTGTGATTCCAGGATTTTTGAAATAATTGGAAAGCCATCTTTTGGCATAAAAATGTGTCTAGATCACCCTGCTTTTCCTAGAGCCATGGAAAGAACCTCTCTTACTCACCTGCTTCTTCCAATTACTGCTCAGCTTTGGGGACAAATTTCAGCTCACTCTTTATGTTCTGAATCTCTGACAAGTTGACAGCAGGACCTGGAAGTTTTACAGCTCCTGGGAGATGCTTCTTGTCTTTCTCCTCTTCTGTAGCAGGTACACTCTGCACAAAAGGATATCAGTCACCTTGCTGCTGCAATAGAAAGCTCTTGAGCTTAAGCACAGGTCAGTTATTTGGGAAACAGTAAAGGATGATATTATACTAACTGCAATCACAATGAAAATACTAGAAGGGGAGGAGGGTGGGAAGAGATGGATTATTTTGTTGGTTGTTGTTTTGAATTTCCAAATGCATTTTGGAAAAAATGGTCAGTGCAGAGGAATGTGGATCTTTCTGTAAATGGACAGGAATTTACACTGTCAGCTTGTTAGCATAAAAGCAAAAGAATATTAAAAGCAACTGCAGATCTTTGATTTTGGGGGGAAAAAAAGGATAAGGAATCATTTTTATTATCCATTTTCTTACAGTCTCATAGTTGCTGGCCTCCTGGATAGGAAAAACATCATACGTTTCCTCAGATTTGGAAATCAACTATATCAACAGTAAGCTATCCCCAAAAGCTCTGTCCAGTCTCAGCTTGAGTTGATGTTTAATTTTTCTGAAGGGTTTTTTGCCACTTTATGTTTGAAATGGAGTCGCGCCTAACGGCTATTTTGCTGACACTGCAAAAATACAGGCTAAATAGCAGCATTAACGCAATAGCAAATAGAGCAAATATTCCTGATGGACCTGATAGCATTTCACCCCTCAGTGGTTCTTCCACTGTACTATTGTTCCTCAGTGAGGTAGAGCATGTATTTCAGACAATTTCTATTCTATACTGAGCAATTTTTTGAAGGTGTAGCTTTCCAGTAGGGAGTTTAAGGTTTATCCAGCCTGTTCTATATTTTATAGACTGAACACATAGAGGGAATCAGGTAGAATCAGAGGTGAATGAATACTTTACTGCAAATAATTTCACAAATCATTTTTTCTTTTTAAATTACTCTTGGATGGGCTTTTTGGACTTTGAAATTAATTCAGTATTTATATTTATTAGCCCGTGATCAGTCAATTCCTAACATGTAATTTCATTTTTAAAATTTCAGAGTTATTTGTTAATTATTATTGGCCAGTAAAATCCATTTATGATTAAGGGACTACATACCAATTAGGAAGCACAATTCTACAATGTTAAGTAGCAAATAAACAAATTAAAAGCAAATAAGCAAATAAAAGGAATTTTAGAAAACCAGGTTTCTTTTTATGTGGTATCCTCTATTCTGTTGTGGTTGTGTTTTTTTTTGTTTTTTTTTTTTTTTGTTTGGTTTTGTTTTTTTGTTCATTTTTTTTTTATCTGAGCCTCTTAGAGATCACCATATAAAAGAAAACTGGAGCAATTATATTGCTTGGCTTAGTAGATTTTTACTATCTTTTCCCATTTTTTTAGTTAATGTGGTATTAGTTATTGCAAGCTACCATTTTTTGTTTTGGTCATTTAAGATCCCAGTCAGTAGTCCAGCCCCAGATACTACATGAACTGTTTAGTATCTTGCTTATGATCTAACATCTGGGAAAAAAACTCAGCAGGAGAATAATTAAATTGACACAGAAATTGTTGGGAGAGATGCACAAAATTGTATCAGTTAAAGGTGCCATGAGCTTGTTTTGCTTCCTTTCACAGCTATACTGCACAGCTTGCTAATTTGAAAAAACTCATAAGACAGTAGCTACTAGCTACTAGCTACTGTCCTGAAAACCACAGTTCTTACTAGTTCATAGCAGATATACTATAGAGACCATTTCAAGTCATCTCTGCAAAATTCTTCTTTCCATTAGTAAAAATGGTGCACACTGTAAAATGATTTAGATGTATGACAAGAGTTAACAGATACATGCATGGGATTGTTCTGAGTGAAGAAAAGTTGTTTCTTGAAATCCCCACCTTTTTTTTTGTTGTTGTTGTTGTTTTTTTGCATGTCACTAAGGTCTTTCCTTTGACCTTCACAAATATGCATTTCCTTTGGACTATAACAACCCTTTGAGTAAGAGCCAGACTTCTCTCATGTCCTTTGCCAAGGTTTTAAAATGCAGTGAAAAATGCTATTAGCAAAAGACTATTAGCAAAAGATATATTTGTCTAAGGCTGCTCTAAAGACTCATGAGCTATATTGACTGCGAAGATTAACCAGGGGAGAATGCAAAAAGACAAGTTAACTGGTAGCATTTTTATTTTATTCCCATGACAAAAGCTGTTTCTGTAGTCTCTACTTCCATTAGTTTGGATGAATATAAAATCAGGTCCAAGAACTTTCATTTTGTAATGTCTGTCTGGTGTACAGTATTTATGTAATTCTGTAAAGTAAAGCAATACAGAATTATCCAACAAAAATTAATTTTCAGTACCTGTCATTTATTTTATTTCTCACATACTACCATAATTCACTCATACTACATCAGTTTCTGCTTAAAAATATTAATTCCTCACCAATTTAATTACTGTAGAGCAATGTGTTTTTATTTCCTTACAGGATCAGTATGTGCTTAAGGTCACTTTCTCTGTTTTGTATTCTTTTGTTTTAAATCTTCTTAAAAAGAGTTAAATCAGGCTCAATTTGGTAAGAATAATTTTGTATAAACAGAGCAATATTTATATCGAGTATGTTGAAATTCAGAAAAGAAAACTTGTCTCATTTAGGCTGAAAAGGAATTAAGCATTTCTTAACCAAAATTTCCCACTGTGTGTGCTTGTACCGAGTCATAAGCAGCTGAGGATTTGTCCAAAGTGAACCAGGCTGTTGAATGGGGAACGCTCTTTCCAACAACAGCAGCTCTGCTTCAGCCAGTGTGAGCACTAAGTCCTGCCCAAGCTGGCCTGGCTGCATGGGTCAATCTGAGCCCTGCTGTCCATGGCTCCACAGAACATCATTAGTTCTGGCACAGAAGGACCAGTTCTGAGATGGGGATTACACAGCCAGACTATGCCAACTGGCCAAGGAGCAATAGGCAGCCATCCTAACTAATGTATTTTTCATATTTGGAGCATCTCTATCTCTCCACAGTTGGTTTTAGATGCTTAAAAGTTCATGGTAAATAAAATGCTCTAATATCACCCAGAAATATGGCATCTGTGACCCTTGTTGGCTAAGGTATAAATTACACTTCCTGTTATAAATCCAGTGTTAAATGCTCCCTGTAAATTACAGGTGTCAAAACACAGAATTCAGTCTGGCAAGGAGTACTTTCTTCCATCTGCAGGTAAATGGGTTTACAGTTTCTGGTTTTAATTTGCAAACATTTAGTCTTTACACTCCATTTTTATTTGTTGATAAATAATCCAAAAAGCTTTCCAAATGTCAGGTTTGAACTCCTGTCCAATATTGTTAAGGTGTAACAATAAAGTTCACCGCAGGGCAGCAGGTACCAATGGACTCTTCCAAAGCCTTGCTATAACTTTACTTGCTGTATTCCACCAGCTTCAGCCTAGATAAATACTTTTAACGAGGTCCTGATAGCAGATTTCATCCTGTTGTTGAAGTAGTGCTACAGACCCTCAAAATACTTTGAGTTCCTACAGATACCTTGGCAGCAAAAGCTACATTTTTACAAGGTGTTTCATAGGTGATCAGTTACTAGCATGAGTCATTTTCATACATCAGCTGTGGTACCTATGATTGGTAGGTAGTGCTGTAAGATTGATTTAAATGCTTTCTTACATCAGTGTCAGGGACTCCCTTGAAAAAAAGAAGATACCAAAAAGCTCACTTCTTCTTACCTCCTCCACTTCTTCAGGTGTTACTTCTTTTCTTTTATGAGGGTGTCCTGCACCAGGTCTAAAAGCTCCCATGGGGATGTTAATATTAGCCTGTCAGGACGAAATCATAACACTTATAATAATGACTGATATATAGACATGGTTAATGGCAGAACTCTAAAAGGGTGCAACAGGAGCATAGACATTATTGTACAGACATTTGTAACAACACTTTCGTGGGAAAGAGAAACACTTCCATCTCTACGATTCCATGATTCTATTTTGAAGATGGAAAAAACAAAGCTACCCAGACCGGGGTAGGAGGAGCCCCAAAGTGGCCCACTTCTCAAATCAGCCCAATCCTGGTCAAACACATGACAGAGCTTTAGCCCCTGGCTTCAACAGCCTTCCTCCAAATATTACCTGTATGACTAAAGAAATCTGTTTTTTCATCTGTGAGATAAGCTAGTAGCCATAATAATAATGCGGTTTGCAATACATTTTTAAAAATAAAGCCTCCTGGAAGGACAGCTTAGGAAAGAATGGCTAAAATGTATCTGTCCTTGTGTGACCCAGACAGGATCATTTTAAAAGTCGAATGGCGTGATCAACTAAGTGCACAAATTAAGCCTATTCTTATCTCACGATCTCTGAAAAGAAGCTGCTCATAGGAAATGTCATCAAAATATCATGACTCCCACTTCGAAAACCAGCGGGTGAATTGGTAATGCCACTGAGCTGAAGCAGAGAACCTTCACACAGTGAGCTGCTTTATTGTCATTTACCATCTGACTGATTTGCACAAAATGAGGATGAACAATACCATCCTTCTGCTCAAATCATGGTACTGCAGATTGCGCCCAGGTTGGATAACCACAGGAACACAGCCCACAAATGTTCTAGCCATAATTCAGCACCTGATGAATTAAGAATCCAATTGATATGAAATAAGCAGCTTTCTCTTTTTCCATTTTTTTACACTTCTATTTATGCAAGTTGCTGATTCCATTTCAGTGGGGCTTGCAAAGATCTGTAGAGCCATGTATTTTAGAGACAAATAGGGATTCATTTCACATGCTTTTTTGCTGAGCATTAGTTTAGATATTGTGAAACCTTTCGTCTGCACTCATTAAGTTCCCAGGAGACAGGGCATTTTCAGCCTCACAGTACTTAACCCATTATTTCATTTAGCAGTGGAAAAAAACAGCTTTGCTATTTATAATTTTATGCATCTCCCCAGACAGTCTCTGGTACCTCCAGCCAGATGCTTTTTTTGGAATAGGAAACAGCACTTTACAGAGAGTGTGGCCACACAGGTTTGCAGAACTGAATCACCAGAACTATTCCCAGGATGGATCTGTCCTCCTCATTTTTTTGGGGCATCTATTCTTCTTGGACAATAAAAGCATAAAACAGCCTCCTACAAGGCTGACCACAAAACTGTAAATCTTTGTATTTCTTCCTGTGGGGGACAGATGACAACGGTGACTAAAAATGGTTCAGGAAACAAAAGCAAATCGGTAAGTGCCAGACTGCTAATCAAATTAAAGAAGCGATTCTTTGGTCCACTTCAGCATTTTCAGACTGATCTGTGTCACACTGCTGTGGTTTGAACCATTTTTCCTGCAATAAATGCATTCACTTCAGAGTTTAGACAAGATGTATGCAGACACGAAATGGAAGGACTCTGGAAGGACTGTTTGTATTGCAATCAACACAAGTGTATAACTGCACTTTTAAAAATCCTCCTCAGGGCTTTTGCTACCTGGCTGCTGGGATGGAGACACAAGTCTTGGTGACTTCTTTCTTCTCTGACCCCATCCAGTGGAATGCTAAATGGAACATTTTTCATTCCAAACTCTTGAAGCTGTAAATTATAATTGCTGTAGACAGACCTCTGTATGTGCATTACTTATTTTTAATAATACTGATTCTTATTGGGCTTACATCTTTCTTTGTTTCTGGAAAGTGCTTATCACAGTTTGGATGTCATTGCAGTTCTCATAATGAGTAGAAATTTGTCTTAATGCACTCTACTGAGGTCTTCCTGAACACTCTGAAGGGAACACATCTAAAAGTATGTGGCTTCTTTCTGAGAAGCTACATCCAATCTTTGTCTTTCTCAAGGCCACCTTCTAAGTTCTGCTGCAACTAATAACAAGTTTATGAGCTATGAATGAATGTGGAGTATGTGTAAATTAGTTTGGTAAACATTGTGTGTCCCTTGTATTTGTTGGTAATGGTTGTTGCTCATTCAGTAGTAATCAAAAGCCAAAGCCTTGCTTGTATTTTAACCAAAATTGGCTGGGATCATGTTCAGGTATTCAGGAACAAAGGGCTTTGAAACAGTTAGTGAAGCAAACTGGAACCAGTGAAGCACTGGCACAGGTTGCCCAGAGTGGTGGTGGCTGCCCTGTCACTGTACACATCCAAAGTGTGGCTGGATGGGGCTCTGAGCACCTTGATATAGCTGTAGATGTCCCTGTTCATTGCAGGGGAGTTGGACTAGATGGCCTTTAAAGGCCCCTTTCAACTTAAATGATTCTGTGAGAATGAGGGCTTCTCCGAAAGTAATGCTTCCTGTATTATTATGTTGGCACATGACCTTAGATAAATTCTTCACAGTATCATACCAATTCCTACTTGTCCAGAAGCATTACTAAATAAGCTGGAAAGCTCCTTGAACATAAACATGTTCAAGTCAAAAAACAAAACAAAACAAAAAGAGGGGAGGGAAAAAAACTGAATATAACTAAAAAAAAAGAAAAGAAAGAACTAGAAAAAAAAAAAGAGTAGTGTTTGTGGGGAGAATAATTGTCAGCGAGATCTATAAACATCCTTTTATGCACTGAGGGGGAGAGTAAAGGGAAACAAGCAACGAAAGTTACCAGAAGTTAATACATCTTTGGTCCCCTGTGATCCCAAACTACTCTTAGGAACAAGATGTTACTCTTAACATGTCTGTATTTAGTGGCCCTTGGCATGTGATGACTTCAGTGTACATCTTGTACAGTCAGAAAGAAGCTACTCCTGACATGCAGCATCACCAGATAATTCAGTCAGTGAGGTGACATTACATTTCTGTTGTTACAGCACTACGTATATTTTCTACAGGATGTCAGTCCTACTGCAATAACATCTAACAGCAAAGGATCATACATCATATATGAATCACAATGTATGAAAGTAATGTGACGTTTTGAGTTGTGGTTCTCAGAGTGCTCCAAGGGCAACAAGCATCAACTCAAGAGCAAGTCTCCCTGCTGGAGTAACCTTTGATACAATATTTAATAGATTTATTTTAAAGTTTGTACAGTAATTTTCCTAGTGCAAATTACCATTGTAAAAATTAAAGTTTCATAATATATGAAACTCATTGCTTAAACTTAATCCATTTTTAATGGACAAACTAAATTCATTCCTTAAAAACACTTGTACATGCTCATGAAGTTTAAAAGTAAAATGTAAAACATTTTAATCTATGAATTATCTACATTTTTTCATTAATCACATAAATATTTCCATTATCTGTATCTGAGGGATAAAAATCTGAATTACATGAAATCAGTGGCTTCTGATGATTTCAACTGAATTAACTTGCATCTCTTTTCCAGTACATGTGATGATGACCAAAATTAGCATTTTAGTCTCTTTCCACTTTAGTATGCTGTCTAGCCACCAGATAACTAATCCTCTTGATAATTTAGTCCACTAAGTTAGTATTACCTTGGCAAAACAGAGGGTAGGTCAGACTTTAGAAAATCCATTTTATGACTCTTACATATTTTAAAGGGAACCTGAACTTGTGGCAAAAATTTGGTTGCAAGTGCATTTTACAAAATACAAGAACACTGTAAAATTCTGCAGCTCAGGAATTGTTTTTACAAGAATCAATGATAGCGTGAATTAAGTACAGCTTAACTATTTCATGATGACAATGGGCAAATTCTCCAAGTGTTTCTTTTACAACAGTATAACAACCAACTTCATTCTTATGACAATAACCCATTTGAGGAAGTATATGACACATAGGGCTTTTCTAATGAAAATGTAAACTTTTCTCACAATCTATTTATGCTTTAAACAAAATGTTTTCTTAATCAAATATTACCTTTTTTTTTTTTTTTTTTATTGAGGACATTCAGGCATTTAAAAACCTTAATAGTTCTGCTATCCTTTTAGACTAAAGTTTTCCCAAAATTACATTAACTTTATGGAAAAGACAATAGTTGCAATAATTAGTTTTACTCATAATGCTGATCACTTTTGTAGATATATCACCATGTTTTACTTTGCTGGTCCAACAGACATAAGCTAGTGTTGAAAAGGACACATCAGCAAGAAAGTGAGCAAACAGCCTATCTGATTCACTTTTTTTTTCGGCTCACATTGTAAGATCTTGTTCAGGTCAAAATTTTTCAGTACCAAACTTTTAACTCTGAAAGAATAATCCCCATTTAGCACTTCTGCAGGGTTTTGTAGGAGCAAAGCAGTGCAATCTGTCAGACAACAGAGGTTGAGATTTATTATTTATTATATTAGAAACATAAATACTGTCTCTTACCTGAATGGCTTTGACATGTGACGCTGGCTGTTTTGACATTTTTAAGACAGTGTCTTATCCCTGCAAGCAAAATGGGAAAGTGTTACAGGCTGTGACATTCTGATACCTAGGGGAGATAAACTAGAACTTAACCCATGCTGCCTTTTGAGAGGCATCCATTTCACCTGCCCATCTCCTATTTCCGTTTCAGTTTCAGAGTTGCTTAGGTATTCCTTCTGAATATCAAAAGGAGACAGAACACCTGAGCTTCTCCAATTAATCTTTTATAGCCACAAATGGAGTTCTCTCTTTCACATTAAAAACAATAGTGAGTACAGATAAACAATCTCTCAAACCTTAATGGCATCGTAAAATGAGCATGAGCTAAAGGAAGTGTTTGAGAATAAACAATGCATGATTATCACTGACACAGTATGTGTGTAGGAATTATTAGAACTCTAAGTTTAAACCTTCTTTCAAATAAAGCATAACTTGTCACAAAGCATTGATAAATGCAGATATAATCATTTAATTCACACATTGTTGTAATTTCTTCATACGTGCAGACTGAAAATGATGAAACCATCTTGAAAATCAAGATGGTTAAACTACAACTTTCTCTCTAAATATTGCTAGGGCACTAAGCAGCATCTCTTCAAAGTTTTAGATCATTTAGATTTATTAATTTTATTTAGCAATCAGAAAATTTAAAAAAATTTAAAAAACATTTTTCATATAATTTCATGCAAACAGAAATACAGACTGGTACAGAATACTCAATAACAAAAACAAAGATCTAATGAATTTGTAAAGATGAAAAGAAAAAGAAAGAAAGAAGGGAAGGGAAGGGAAGGGAAGGGAAGGGAAGGGCAAAGGGAGAGGGTGGAAGGGGGGAAGGGGGGAAGGAGGGAAGGGGGGAAGGGAAGAAAAGGGGAAGGGGGGAAGGGGAGAGAGGGAAGAGGGAAAGGGGAAGGTGAAGGAAGCAAAGGGGAAGAAAAGAATGAAAAAGAAATTTATTATCCCTTTAATTGAATAACAGTCTCAGCATTTTACTATTTCACTGAGGTTTATTACTTCAATTGGACTAGTCCTTCATCACTATCTCACTATAATGAAAAATAAGAATAGTAATACTAAAAGTTGATCAGTAAATACTTGAAAATCCATCAGAGAACTCAGTGGTAACAACCAAACTGTAACATATTTTGACTACAGTATTTTACCTAACATTGAAAATGAAATATTGAGAATAGTAATAAATGGTATAGGAGAGAATAGTAGAAATACAGTAAGAAATCACAAGTGAGCCAAAGACTTTGTGACTCCAAAGACCATAACTCTCCCATGGAGGCAAGTAACAAATTAAATACCGATCGTTGTAGGTTGCCTTCAGACCAGAGTATCAGTCCGAAGTCATATTCCTTAAGCTGCATGGAAGATTGTTCTTGCATACTCTCTTATCAGCTTTAAATCTGTTCCTAATTCTGAGAACTTAAAATGCAGGTGATCTGCCATTAGAGGTCTCTCTCTGATTGCACACTCAGCTGTATGGGTCGTAGCTCACCCTGAACTCAGAGGATGTAGGCTTCAGATTTAAACAGATGAACTGACATTTGTAAATCAGTAAAAAAATAATCCATCCATACAAATACAAACAGCATGCTTCAAGTGAACCATATATTGTGGCACTATATTGAAATCAGAGATAGTTTAGAAAAGCTCAGAATTCAGTTTGAGGGATGAGATCTTAGTCACTGAAGCTCATAGCAACATTTGCAAAGATTTCAGGAAGCCAAAATTTCAACTGATAGATTTATTGCACTCTCTTTCCTTTTTAAAAGTCCTTGCTATGCATAGAAATAAACATTTTTTTTTATGACTGCCACACAGCTTACACTGATGCATTGTACTGTTAATCAGGAGTTTTATTCCAAAAATAAATACAGAACAACCCACCAGGCTATTGGAAAACAGGGTTCATAATACAGAAAAGTTTAATTATTTTTTCTTATCTTTTCCACTTTCAAATTAGAATGGAAAGATGGAAACAAAAGGGCAGGAAATTAATAGGAACATTTTAAAACACTGCGGGTCTACTTTCTAAACACAGTCACAAAAAAATTCAAGCTAAGGTAAACTCTTCCATCTTGTGTGTCTGCATTGCAGAAACAGTGCCCCACATTTCTGTGGCTACCTTAAACAAATGGGTAGGGACTTACAGGGAATTTCTACTTTAAAAGAAAAGCAATCATGTTCTTCAGTTAGATCCTCTGAGCTTGCAATGATTGCAATCAGACTCCTGTTCCTAAAGACAGACGTATGATACAGTTGTGTAGGACTGCTTTCGGAGGAGGTGATTTTCCTACCAGTTTATGCTGTCCTCATTACTGCTAGAGAAATCAGGACAACAGCACACCACTGAGTAAAAATAGACAATCTTCCCCAGCCCTTTCCCTCACCTGATATTTCCTCCCAAGCAGTACTGACCATCAACCATAGGAAAATAAACCCCACATTACAGATGCATTTACTACTGAAGTAATAATTGTATTCGTATACATGTCTATATTTTTTTCCAGGTGTCTCAGAAAGTTAAGAGTGCTGCACTGACTGATTGACTGATTTTTTCTGTCATTCCACTCCAATCTGCAAACTCAAACAAGTCACTCTCCACAGTCACTTCCACAGCCAAATTTCCCATGTGCAGGCTCAGAGAAGCAGTAAAGGCACACAGCCTTTATGCCCTGGTGCCTTTTGGGCCCCTCCATACCTTACCTCTTACCTTTTATGGTCTGCATGCTGAGCCAAACTTAGGAAGCAGCAGCAACAGATTTCAATTTGGAGCTGTTTAATGCCAGGCAGCCCCTGCAAATTCCTGTGCTTTCTTCACTTCCCAGTGAAAGTAACCACTACATTTTGTAGGCTGACAAAAATCTGTGTTGTGAAAAGATCCTTTAAAAAACAAAGGACCTATCTACTGTCCCTCTGCTAAAAATAATTTCTGACAGGGCTGCAGAAAGATAATGAGCTGACTGATTCAATTTGCTTTAAATGCAATGAGGTATCATAATGCCATCTTTTGTAATCTGCACAAGAGATGCACAGTAGCTTACACACACCAGGAGGGACTCCCCCCAGCTGAATGCTGTCCTTTTCCCCCCTGCTGTACTTACAGCATCAAGCACAAAGGCTATTTTGGACACAGAACCACAGTGCATTATCTTATTAAAAGGCTTAGACAGGAACCACATCATTATGGAACCCAGCTAGCACAAAGAAAGAAAAGAAACCCCCACTTTGCAGCTTCCTGAGTGTTAGTACATGCTGTAAGAAAATGGTGCATTTCCTGTAATGCAGTTCCCACCATCACTATTACCTGTTAAACTAACAGTGAAAGACTACTTCTCTTATTATCAACCCCTCCCATAACATTTCACTATATGTAGCATATAGAAAACAATAAGCATGTACCTATGGACTACAGCATTTAAGCTAATACGGTTGTGCTTCTTATGAGTCAGCAGGCATTTAAATGACAGTTTTAAATCTTTTAAGATCCTCGCAGTAGATGGAGCAATAACTATAATGATCTGTTCTAAATACTGTGCACAAGACATTAAAACAGGCATAAAAACAGTACTACTCGCAGCCAGCCATTAAATAGTTTTCATAAGTCTTTTTTTAATTGACCCCTTCAACATTAGCCTACTTATCTAGTTATATAAGAAAAGTTCCAAACCGTCAAATGAGTACATACACCTTCCGATGGTGAAAGAGGTACCTTCTTCTTCCGGCTGAATTATTGACTGTGATCCGCCAAATGTGTCTGAAACAGCTCTGATGCTTTCAGCCTGGACGGCACCGAGAGCTGCTCCAGGCTGGAGTGGAACTCGGCTGAGAAGCAAAGTGTAAAAGAGAATTCCTGTCATAGCTTCCAGTTGTTCTTCCTAAATATAGCATTTGATTCACCCTGTAACTTGGTCCCCTGTGACACTTGACCATCATAAAACCAGGGCTCAAGTGTCAAGCAGTAGGTGTTGAAGGAACACACCTTTGGGTCCTTTTCATGCCCTCCCTCTCCCTGAGGCACATGATGGTGGGAGGTAGTACACATCTCCTCCAGTGGCGTGTGGGGCAGCACATGCCTCCCTCCCTCCTGCTACATCAGAGAAAGAAATAATTATGAAGACGTAATTATGAAGAACTCACCTCAGTGGGACTATTTAGGGGAGGTGAATGTCACACCAGCATTTGCTATATTGTTGCTGGATTGAGAGCAAACCTGTCCAAGGGTCTTTGCTTGCTGTTCCTGCATGCAGGAAGTCTGTGCTGACGGGAAGGAGAGCTCCTGAATTGGTGAGGCCATGGCTGCTGGTTGTTAAAAGGTAGAGCATACAGATGAAGAAAAGCCAAAGGAAAAGTGTGTGGGAAAGCTCACATAGTTAATAAAAACATGAGAAGTTATTATACAGTTGTGCTCACACTACCTGTGAGTGCTGCAGTCAAGTGAAGGAGACGAGCAAGCCATGCATGGGGCACAGCCTCATTTCCCACTTCTATAAGTGCAGCCTCCTGCCCATTACAGCTTCAGAGGAATGAACTTTCCTCTTGCTCTGCTATGCCTGTTTTCCACTGACCCACAGCACTAACTGCAACAACAGCAGTGTCATTACTGGTGTTACTGGGATTATCCCTCTCTGCTCTTGTGAGGCCCCATCTGGAGTTCTGTGTCCAGACCTGGGGCTCCCAGTACAGAATGGACATGGAGCTGTTGGAAGGGATCCAGAGGAGGATCACAAAGATGATTAGAGAGCTGAAGTGAAGAGAGGTGGAGGGAGCTGGGCTTGTTCAGTCTGGAGAAGAGAAGGCTCCAGGGAGATCTCATTGTGGCCTTCCAGTACTAAAAGGGAGCTTATAAACAGGGAAAGAACCAATTTTTTACATAGTCCAACAATGATAGGACAAGGAGCAATGGCTTTAAACTAAAAGAGAGCAGATTTAGGTTAGATGTTAGGAAGAAATTCTTTACTCAGAAGGTGGTGAGGTGCTGGCACAGCTGCCCAGAGAAGCTGTGGTGCCCCATCCCT